CCCAAAAAGGAGGAAAAACCCCAAAAAGGAGGAAAAACCCCAAAAAGGAGGAAAGCGTTTCCACGCCGCCGAACTGGGGCAACGTGCTGAGGACAGATGGATTTTCCAAGGCAACAAGAACCACCTGCAGTTGTATCTCTCTGTGCATCTGACCAGCAAACACTAATCTATTCACTCACATTAATTAACCCAAGTAAAGAAAAGGCAGGGATTAGAAAAGGATTGGAATTTCTGGCCTGGTCTTAGTCTGCTATTTCAACAACCATGAAGTATTTATGGCCAAACACACAAAAAAGAATACCAATAGTAACATAATTCAATGCAACCCTTTTTTAATAGTTGAAACCAAGAGATAATAGATTTTTTTTCCCCCCAGGGACAGATGGATTCAGACATAATCATAGATGTTCTTTATTACACAAAAGAATAGGATGCTGCACTTCAATCACAATAATTACAGGCTCTGACTGCTCACGAACCTCACAGCAAAATCTACACAAAACTATCTTCCTCAAATGCTCCTTTTTCATTGAGACTCTCCAGCCACCAATTTGTTCCTTCTTAGAAGGAAACTGAAGCATAACCACCACTTAAAAAGAGAATTTTTAGATCAAGTCATTACAGACTCTGCTTCAGTTTATCTCTGAACCCCTCGGTCAGCAATTCCTCCTGCTGCTCCAAAACACTTGAAGAAACAAAAGCCTGAAGGGAAAATAACATTCCTTTGGCATGAGGCAACTGCAAGTTCGTGTTTTTCTGGATTACAGTTCTCTAGACCCTTCTAGGATTGCTCCTAAAACATTTACATTCCCAAGTTAAATCCCAGGTTACCGGCCCGGAAGGTTCCTGTTGTCTCTCCAGTTCCCCTCAGCCTGGTTGTTGTTACAGCGTTTCTGCTTCACAAACAACATCAAAACCTTCCCATTCAAAGCACTTGGTGAAGCCTTTGATGAGAACCACGTGCAATACCAGAAAACCACTGCCAGTGGCAGCATTGTGCCAGAAAAGTTTGTGACTGATCCACCACTTCCACATGAGATGCACTTGAATCCTCAAAGCCCATTCAAGAACAACACTTGGGCTGTACAGGAGAAACCTGATCCTGCTCTGCTGGGTTGGTTTTTTTTTAAATAACACGTTTGCAATCAAAGCCAACAAGCTTGTCTAATGCATGAAAACATCAAAAGGACAAGGAGTGAGAGGCAGCTCTGATTTCTGGCGCCTGCTGTTCCAAAATTGGGGTTGCAGACTCGTCTGTTCTCCCGCAGCACAGCTTTTGTGAGCAGCCTCCCTGAATCCTGGAGACAAAATAAGTACAAGGAAATAATCTGTCACCCTCTCACTAAGAGTTCATAAATTCTAACAGGGACTGCTTGAAATGATGGGAAACATCCCGACAACCCAAGCATTTCTCTGGGAATTCTCTTTGCATTCCTTAGCTGGGAGGAGAAAGCCCCCACTCCTGTGCTGAACACACAAACCAGCCCTCTGTGGCACAAAACCCACACTCCCTTTTATATGAGGGCAGTTTACAACAAGCAATAACAGCTTAATGCTTCGATTTCCCGGGTTTGTGCCACTGAAGTCAGGGGTCTTTCAAATAATACAACCCCCCAAGGAGCAGTGTAAGGGAGGCACAAGTGCATCTGTACGGGGAATCAGGCAGGAGGACTGAAAAATCCACTCTGGGATTTGGTGGTGGAGGTGGTTTTGAATAGCAAATGATGTCAGGGGGAGGAGGGGGACTAGAAATCAGGACTGGAAGGCGCTTACAAAGAGTTATCTACAAACCAAACCATCCCAAGCCTGAACAACAACGAGCAGCCAACGGAGAGATCCAAGAAAAGAGAGTAAATTATTATATTTTGGAAAAAAGCAGAGGACAAAGGCAGCACATGATGAATGAAAAGCTGCAATTCTGCTAAGAGGGGACAGTTTTGCAGAAGGAATTCTGAAGGTGTACAAATTCTCTGTGAAGGTACATCCTTTACATCTGCACACACTGGGATGATATTCCAACAAAAAGGGAGGGATCAACACTGAAGTGTTTTCACTGTTTCCTTGGCATCACACGGAGCTGGGAGGTCACAGCTTTTCTGTGAATCAGGCCAAGGCTCTAAAGGAGGTGGTGATGCCATCACCCCACTTCCCTCTCTCTGTTTCTAATTCTATCCTAGAACAGCACAGGGCTTTTAGCAGGGCAGGGATGAGGCCAAGGGCAGCACTTCCAAAGCGTTCAGATACTCTGGAGAGAAGAAATCAGTGGTTGGAAGTGAGGTTTTCCCACTTGCTGCCATAAGGGACCACCTCACCCTCTGCCCTCCTCCCAAAATACTCTTTTTTGCCATTCAGCCAAAGCAAAGAGAAGTTTTTGCTGATGGCCACATCCCCTGGAAGCTTCACTGCCCAATATGCACTAAAAAAATGGGATAGCAGGGGATTACCCAGGAGCTCATCAGGAATATTCACACATGAACACACAAAGGAGGCAGGCAAAGCATTTACTGTGTTTGGCAGGATTTTATCACCTCATCACTCAAAAATCCCACAGTTTAAAAAAAAGGATAACATCTACACAACAGGCTGGAGCTTTCTTGGAATTTGATGGGAAGATATTTCACTTCCCACTCGGAGTGGGAATCCCTCCGAATGCCTCAGTTGTTCCCTTCCCTGTGCTTTATTCCAGGGGTTTCGAGGTTTCTCTGGCACACGAAGGAGAACAACAACATTTCCTCCCCTGCAATCAGATTCCCAGCCGGGAGATTGGATTTCGGGAGGCGGGGCTGGATCGAAGGAGTTTTTAGGGAAGTGATGAATGGTCCTGTGCTGCCAAACAGGAGTGGGACTGATGGCTCGGGCTGAGCCTGCAGGGGGAAAAGGCTGGCACAGGGCAGGGCAAAGCAAAAGGAATTACAGGGGGTTCCTAACACAGAGAACCACACTTCAATAATGTATCTTTTAAAACCAGGGAGAAAAATATGAAGTTAAAATTAGCACCAGAACAGGTGATAAAACCAAAACACAACCAGGCCAAAGGGCGTGGGAGACACACAGACCCTACACCCACTTCAACCCTGAACTTCTGAACACTAAAGTCTATTAAATAAGTCATCTGAAGGGAATTAGAAATGAGGAGATGGATGAAGATGGCCAGGCTTTAAAGATTCTCAAACTCATGGCTCCACGGTGCTGACTGGCTCTGGGTCATGGAATTGTGGGATGCTGCCCATGGAATAACTCGGTGCCTCCACACGGAAAGAAAGTGGCGACAAAAATATCATTTACAATGGGATGTGTAACTTTTTAAATCAGTTTTTTTACAGAAAGGTCTCTGGACAAGGTTGCAACCAAAAATATGCCAGTGTACTAATAAACTGCTATTTGTACTCTGCTGGTGGGGGTTGGGGTTGGGCAGTGGGTTGGTTTGGTTATGGGTTGGTTGGGTTGTGGGGTTTGGGTGGTTTTTTTGTTTGTTTTTCTGTTTGTTTTTTTTAAGGGGGAGGTGTGATCTCCCTCCTAAACAGCTCTTTTTACTGGGTTTGGTCAGTTTTGTCCAATTAATTTAAAAGCTTCACCCTGAGAAGCATTTTCTGTACTTCCTCTCCAATATGGATGATTTTGTGGGTTTTAACCTGAAGCTTCAATCTCCCTAAAAATACATAAAACGTCTGTCAGAGTCTTCCTTTTCACATTTACATCCTTCACTGCACAGAAATTCCTAGACATGCTATTTTGTCAGCCAACTTTCTAAATATGTATGTCATTTATAAAGCAGACTATACTCAGAGGTGTCAAGGCGCCAACTTCTGTGGCAGACTATTTATTTTAGAGCCATGTGCACACAAAAGAAGTGTCCCCCAGTTCCTGAAGTGTGACTTTTTTTTTTTAAATTTTTTTTTTTTTACACCTTTACATCTGAAAAGCTGCAGACAGTCACCTGCCAAATTCAGACTCGCAGAAATTGCAAGCGCTTTAAATTTCCAAGTGTCTTTCTGTCGGCTCCAAACGATTCCCTGGGCTACAAAACCACACTCTCCCCCTTAAATGAAAATATTGTCTTCTGCTGCAGCGCTCACAAAGTGCTCATTTGGGGGTTTTGTTCGTGCTGACGTTTCAGGGTTTGTTCCTTTGAAACAACATGAATCAGTTCTGGGCGTCGAACAGGAATTAGATGGAACCTGTAACTGGATTAAAGCCTCCCCAGTTCACAAGCATCTGGTCAACTTCTATTTAAAATGAGCCCCTGCCTTAAAGGGAGGAAAAAAAAAATCTCACAGGTTCTCTTTAAAAAGGTAGGGAATGTTGTGATTCCCACAGCCCCTGTGACAATTCCAAGGTGCCTGTTTTCCTTAGACCAGGCTCCAGACAGTTACTGCTCATCCCAGCTCGGAGCTCCCGAGGTTCCACCTCTCCTTCCAGGGTTATGAGTAACCACAGTGTGCAAACCAGCACAGATGTCCTGCAGATTCTCCCAGAGGGATTTAATCAGTGTACTTCACTACTTGCCCTATTTAGATCCATGTTAAATCACAACTAGCTTTGGAAACAATATCCCAAATGCTGGGGATGACAGATGGGCCCACGGGAGCCGGGGAACAGCAGCTCTTCCAGAGACACAAACAGCAAAACAGGAACAAGGAAAAGAACATCTCCCCCTTTCCAACCTGTTTTCCACTATGAAATTTTTCTATCAGAGAAGAAATAATAATAATGGGATTCATCCTAAGCTACCGAATTCTCTGTGGTATTTTAATTTACATGTTAAATATTTTAAGAGCGTAAAAACAAACATCTTGTGCACAGCAGCAAAGCAGCTCTGGCCCCACAAAGCCAAGGGTTGTGGGGTTTTTTAACAACATAAATTAGTCTCCTTCTTTGGGGCATTG